GATCCAGATCCTCCACGTACATCTTGAGCGCTCTGGTAGTTGTCTGGGCCATATGTTCCGCAGATCCATTGGCTTGGGGCCTATATGCCATAGTAGCCCGTTGGCGTTGTCCCAGGATCCTGTTGAACGACTTAAAGAAATCATACATAGAGCCTGGCTCCCGATCATGTCGGATCACCTCGCTCGCGCCAAATCGACGAAAGACACATTCTTCGTAAGTCTCGGCAATCGTTTGGGCGGATCTGGAAGCACTAGCTTTGGCGATCACGTACCCCGAGAACAGATCCACGAAAATCAACAACTCAGTATTGCCGTTGAAGGATCTAGGTAGCGAGGGTATGTGATCCATGGCAATGGTCTGAAATGGGTACGTGGCCTGAAGGTTACCGGGCGACTCACCCTGGATCCGTGGTTTTCCTTTACCTGTTTCGCATTCCCCCACATATCGTTGTACACGTAGAAGGATCTAGGCAGCGAGCGTATATGATCCATGGCAATGATCTGAAATGGGTACGTTGCCTGAAGGTTACCAGGCGAATCACCCTGGATCCGAGGTCTTCCTTTGCCTGTCTCACAGTCGACGCATTCCCCCACATATCGTTGTACACTCTTGTACAGACCCCTCCAGTGGAAGTGATCACGGATCCGATCGTAGGTGCGGCCGACCCCTTGGTGACCGCCCTGTAGACTCGTATGATAGTGGTGCAGAATGTCCTGTTGAAGCGTCTCAAGTATCACTAGTCGCATCAGCTTATCTCGAGCTGCGGCTGCTTCCTTATATGTCGGGCAATAGAAGAATAGATCCAGCTGATCCACGTCGTAATTCATGGCAATAGATCCGAACATTCTAGCTTCTTCTTGTGTCAGATCCCGGATCTCCCCGATTAGATACTTCTTCAAGCCTATGATCCAATAACTCTCTTATGACTTCCTCTCGTAAGGAGTCCGGGTCAGCTCCCACACGCACCCTCGATCTAGCCTTAGATCGGGCCGTCACCGCTGATACCCGTCCAGTTTCTTCTTCGACGTTCACTATCAGGATCTCATCCAACCTATTTAAAGTTATGAGATCCTGGATCTCTGCATCAGACTCTATCTCGATCCCGCATTGCCGTTGTAGAGCAGCACTTACTAGGCTGTCAGCACTCCCATTCCAGTCCCGTTTGACGTGCAATAGGTCATGATCTGGTCATGTACGTAGTCGATCCAAGGATCGATGGCGTAACAGTATCAAACCTGGCGCCTTACAATCGATCTCTCCTTGTACTTGTCGGATCACCAGGTTTGCGTCTCCGCAGATCACCAGACGCTGTGGATTCAAATCCTCCAACAGATCCAGACATAGTAACAACCCATGGTATTCTGCCTCATTCGCCTTCAAGCCTTCGGCATACCCTGATCTAGCTTTCAACACCCTCCATTCGGGCAATCTCCACAAGATCGCGCTATAGGCGCCTCCACCCCTCTTGACACGGGCTGATCCATCGAAACTGACGACATATAGTTCCTCATCTCGTCCGATAGTGGGGATCGGAGCTTGGATCTTGCGTCTTGGCTCCTTTTTGGGGGCGATTGAGATCAACGCCTTATCCAACTTCTGATCTAGGGGTGATACCGGCTGCCAGTGCTTCCAAGATTTCGTCCTCTCCTTTGACACACTTAGTAATCTCAAGTGTACAAGGCGACAACAGAGCGGCCCATTGCCCCAGACGTCCTTGTAAAGCCGTGGATCTGAAGAGCCACGCCAATGTTGAGTGTCGGGTTAACACATGGATCGGACGCCCAGCCAACGCATTGTAATTCAGATCCAGGATCCTCAGAAGAGCTAGTACTTCCTTCTCCGCGACGCCGTAGTTTAGCTCATTCAACTTCGGAGTGCGGCTCGCAAACGTCACGGGGTAGTAGATCTGGTCGTATTCTTGCATCAAGGCTCCCGAAATGGCCCAGTCGCTGGCGTACACCACCACCGTAGCTTTCCGATCTGGGTCAAAGTGTCGTAAGATCGGAGTTGTAGCAATCCTGATCTTGAGCACGTTGAAGGACCGATGAGCATGGATCCAACGTGGATCTACCTCCGTAGGATCCGACGCCTCCAGATCCAAGGTGCTTCGGTGGTCGACATCCCGATCTTCCTGTGATCTTGGATCCACACCTTCTGCTTCCAGTATTTGTTGGATCCGCCCCTGAGTCGTCTCTTTCGCCATCGCAGCAAAGTCGATTTCTCGCAATTCGTACAGAACCGACGCGTAGATCGCGTAGTCTTCGATAAAATTGCTATAATAGTTCAGACTCCCCAGAAATGATTGCATAGCTCTGAGTGATCCTGGAAAAGCTAGATCGGTTAATGCAGACAGGTCTTTCGGATTCGCCTCCAGTCCATTGTGCGAGACCTTATGTCCAAGGTATTCCACCTTGGGCATCCTCCAGAAACTTTTATCCACGCTGATCGACAGGTTCCATTTGTCACATGCTTCGAGCAACTCCTCGACTCGATCACATAGTTGATCCCAACTATTAGCGGGGATCAGGATGTCATCGATATATGATCTGCGACCAAGCACCGAAGACCTGCCTGGATCCACCGGTTCCCCATCCTCAAATACATCCGCAGTACCTCCGTGATCCTCCGACTTCGGGATCCGGGTGAACCCATATAGCGCGTTATCGATCATACGTTGATAGATCTGGAGCGCATTCTTCAGGCCAAAAGGCATTCGATTTCACTCAAATAGTCCGAAAGGAGTGATGAAAGCCGAGATCAAACGAGCACGATGCGTCATTTTCACTACCCAAAAATCCACTCGCCATATCCAAAGAACAGTACAAAAGTGTCGACTCCAGATCTTCGAGTAGATCGTTGATCAAGGGCATT